ATATACCCAGGAATGGGGTTGTTGGGTCATATGATAGTTCTATCTTTAATTTTTTGAGGAATTGCTAGACTGATTTCCATAGTGGTTGTACCAGTCTACATTCCCACCAGCAGTGAATGAGGGTTCCCCTTTTTTCCACAACCTCTCCAACACTTGTTATTGCTTGTCTTATTGAATCTTCTTGTGAGGGCATTACTATTAGGTAGAATAAACTGTAACTTCTTGTAGCCTCATGTTACCAGATTAATATTCAGAGTCTCATGAAACTGCTTCTGTTAGGCTGAGCTTAAATTGTGTGCTGCACTGAGCAGTGAGAAGAATGATGTGGCAGAAGAAAGCCACTTCTTCAGGAGCTCCTTGGTTTTGATAGTGATAAGACAAAAGCTTGGATTTATCATTCCACCAATAATATCAACACTGGAAAATAAATAATCCTGAAAAAAGAAATTATGGTGATGTTAGGAATGGATGAGTAGGTGGGGAAAACCCACATATGCCCACTACATACAATATAGAACTGAATATATTTTGATTGAATGAATGTCTAATTTATTAACACCCATGTTCAATAAGAGTACAATAATGCTTAGAAGAAGACGTCTCTCCCCAAGCCCACATGCTGTCTCAGTTATGTATTCACATATTTTTTAAGGCTAAGGTATAACAGGATGTTTTGAGAGAGCTGAAGAGCTCAAGATAAGAATTACAGAGAATTACTAGAAATGTGATTTTTAGAGATCATGGGTACATCAGTTGACCTCACTCTAAGGAAAAGCAATATATGAAATAATCTTAATTGTATATGGTGTTGTCACATCTCTCCAAAGGAGTTCATAACTGATTACATACTTTTGTGAAGGTGATTCACCATACAGCTTTCTAAGAGTTCCCCCAAATATCTTAAAATGTATTTTGATCCCTGTTTCTAGAACCCTTCAGCTCTGATTAGGGAGAGCACAATTGTCTAAGAAGAAAACTAGGAAGAATGCTACTTATATTCTCCCTTTTACTATGCAAAAAGCATGGTGATATTCACAAGTGAGATCCATGGAAAAGGGGGAAGTATATGACATTCAGGGTCCTACGTTGGAGGACTCTGGTGTGACTATTTTAAAAAATTCAAAAGAATTCAATAGTAAGTGGTAACTTTAAATATTGAAAAAAATGTCATCTTAATGTATAAAAAACTACAGATGTTTCCTTAACATATGCACTTTTATTCAAATGATTATGTAAGTTAAACAGAAAGTTGGGACTGACAAATTCCCAAGTTTCCAAGATTTACTTATGTTAACCTAGTATTCAACATGGGAACAAAGTTGAGGATTTTTATTTATAACCCATGTCGCTTAGATGTGAGGGGAGGCAAGACTGAAGATTACACTACATTAATAGGGTGAAAACATGCAAATCAGGGACATGTTAGATAGATGGATGGATAGATAGATAGATAGATAGATGATAGATAAATAGATAAATTGTTACTTTCAAAATGTTAGCCAGCTCATCCATCATGCTGGTTGTGGGCAGTGATGGTACTAGAAATGGAAATGAATCTGAGTTGCAGTGAATTTTGATTAAGGCCTAGTTCATGTAAGAAAGATTAAAAAAAAATCCTCAGCCTTAGCTGGTTTGGCTCAGTGGATAGAACGTTGGCCTGTGAACTGACAGATACCGGGTAACATTCAGGTCAAGGGCACATGCCCGGGTTTCAGGCGTGATCGCCAGTAGGAGGTGTGCAGGAGGCAGCCTATTGGTGATTCTCTCTCATCATTGATGTTTCCATCTCTCTCTCCCTCTTCCTCTCTGAAATCAATACAAATACATATTCTTAAAAATCCTCAGTCCACAAATTCTCAGAGGACTAAAAAACTTTAGAGGCAGTTACAGGCATAGAATAAAGACCTAGTGTCACAGGCTCCATCAATCTTCAAATACTAGCCCTTTCAAGGGTTGAGACATAAGGTTATGCTTTATAGTGGAGCAAACTTCACCAGCTGGCATCATCTGGATCTTTTAGTGGACCTCAGAAATCAGGCTATGAAGGCTGAGAGTGAGCTAGGTTAGATTGTAGGTATCTTCCATCCAGAAAATATTCTTTCTAGTCACCCCCTCCCCCCTTTATTAATCTCAAATGATAGTGTAATTTACATACTCTTCTGCACCTTGACTTTTTAATTTTTGTTGTTTTATATTTAGCAATATGTCAGGACATAAAGAGCTTCTTCTTTTTCTAAAAGGCCACACTGTATTCTATTGTTTGGCTATACTATAACTTTTTTAACAGTTTTCAAACTTTTGCTATCTTATATAATAAAAGGGTAGCATGCAAATTGACCCTAAGGGTGGAACCACAGGGAACAACTGGTTGCTATGGCATGCACTGACCACAAGGGGGCAGACCCTCAATGCAGAAACTTCCCCCTGGTGGTCAGTGCGCTCCCATAGGGGGAGCTCCACTCAACCAGAAGCTGGGCAGGGATGTCTGACTGTGGCTTAGGCCCACTCTCCCAGGGAGCTGGCCTAAGCTGTCAGATGAACATCCCCTGAGGGCTCCCAGGCTGCCAGAGGGATGTCTGACTGCCAGCTTAGGCCCCATCCCCCCAGGGAGTGGGCCTAAGCTGGCAGGTGGACATCCCCCGGGGGACCCCCCCCCTCCGCCTGGAGTGGATGAATTTTTGTGCACTGGGCCTCTAGTTTTAAATATATGCTGCAGTAAATAGTCTTGTATAGGTTAAAAAAAATCAGATCGTGGGCTTAAGGTTAGGGGAATATTTCCCAGTATTGGGGCTCGTGGCTGTGCAGGTAGTGAGTGGTAGAAGAGGCTCCCTCTCTGCCTTCTTTCAATCTGAGTCCAGAAATGTGGGTAAGTAAAGGTTTCAGGAAGGTTTAACATTCTATTAATCTGTTACCTAACCAAATATAGCATGCTGATTATTACAGGTGCTTCCTCTGTGCCCAGTCCTATGCCATATAGAATACAACAATGAATAAGATATAGTTCCACCCATAACAAACTGGGACTGTCCTTTGGGTAATAAAACTTCCATGCCTATAATGATTTGTCCTTGGTAACATATGTTAACTCTTCAAATTGTGTGGTAGAGACCTTTAGGCATAATAAAGAGTAGCCATTTAATTATGATTCTAATTACACAGATACTTACTGAGTGTCCAGTATGTTTGAGGTACTGAACAAGACAGACATAATTCCCTGAGGAGACAGAAAGTTAAATAGGCAATAACAACACAATGTGTGACACTTTCATGAATCATTATTGGTGGTTCCAATTTACACAACTGGTAGGAAGTCAAACAGGTATAGCCACTATGGAAAACTGTTTTGTAGTGTCTAATAAAAAATTAAACATACTCTATTACCCAGCAATTCTACTCCTAGGTATATATGCAAAGATGTATGGACAACGTTATTTATTGC